TCATAATTAGAAAAATACTACTAATATACCACGCAGTAATTTTTTCACTTACATGGCCGTAAACCTCACACTATGTTGGACGGTAGCCGGGTGATATTTTGCCGGTATTGATAAAATGCATAGTAACCGCAATTGAAAATTCTAGGTTTTACTACTTATACTTACGTAACATGAGTATGATCCAGTTGTACCAACATATGTACTAGTACCAATAGAACCGCTACATAAATAGTCAGTACCACCGCAGACATAGCAACTTAACGTATTACATAATGGTGCAACTGCTATTTATAAAATAAAACAAGTTATACCGTAAAATTACAGTGATTTTATCAACTTCGTATCTGTTTTCTTGGTTATTTTTGTTACACTGCCTCACTCGGCTATCAGTCTGTTAGAAAAAGACATCTTACCTAGTATAAGACCCAATGCTAGTAATAGCGTCTGACTTTCCATCGTAGTTTGGATTTTGTAAAATTGAAACTTTCCACTTTCAAAGAATTATTATTTTAAAAATATGATTCCTAACATATATAATGTTGCCGTTTATATACGATTCATGATCGTCCTGTCACTATTGACATAAAAAAGAGAAGAAAAAAACAGTTGACGCGTAATTAATTATCTCGCTTGCGTTCTCTACAATAAAAGCAAATGAAATAAAAAGGAGTTTGATGGCATTCTCTCTCATGTCAAGTACATTAATAATTAATTCAACAATTCAGAATACACATCCATCAGCTAAAACGTCGAACTTTGTTTCAAGACGGAAAGGATAGTAAATATTAGTGTCCATCGCGACATTATAAGCTTTTTAAAGCGCTTCAAACTCAAAGTTTACGCACAGCTTTATTTTTATGTCATTTATACGTCATTACATAGAAGCGGTCTGAAGCAGTTTGACTGAGTCATAAATCTTTTAATTTTCGGTGAAAGTAGCGAAATAGATTATTTCGTCGAGTAAACGCTTTCACTAGTTTTTAAGCATTTTCGAAAAACAAACATTGCCATGAGATTCAGCGTAGACGATAACCTATGTTTCATGTGTTTTGAAATTTCCCAAACATGAAGTTTAGCCGATAGATAGGTCTTCAGAAAATACCTATAGCTACCGGACCATGGGGACCAAAAATCTGGAACTTTTGTACATTTAAAGAGGGCAGTTTGTAGGTTCGAATCAACCTAACAGAATTTGAGATACATTATTTTTCTTGAAACAGGAAGCTTTCAGGTTTTGTTTGATGAGGTACACCATGGCAGACTTTGTTTCTTTATAGATTTCTTTCCCAGTAGCTTAAATACTGAAAACCGCATAGCCCTAGCTCTTTTCGCTAAAAAGTTATTTAGAAAATACTTTTTTTTCCATATTGTTTTGAAATAGATAGTACTTTTAATTTTGTACATTTTGCACTGATCCTTATGGCAAAACAAAACTTTGAGTCTCTGGGCACCAGTTCTCGAGCAAGAACGAATTCTAAAAGCCGCTTCAATCGATTTGTGCAAATAAGCCTAATGTTCTAAATGAGACAAATATTGAGGGATACTTCTCAGAAGGGTTTGCACTACAGAAACTATCTTCCTCAAACCGAGCACATCTTTCCGATTATCTTGTAAACTAGCCTTTTAACACGAAAAGCAAATTGTGCGTTGAAAAAACTTCAGTTGGAAGCATGCACCAATCAAAACATCCGGAGGTCGCACAGCGGGTAGAGATGACTGCAGCATCCGAAATCAGATTTATGTGTGTACAATATATAGACATCAAATACCTGGCAACGATCCCGCGCGAGATCGTAATAATTATATCCGAACATGTGTCGGCTATAAGAATATGCAACAGAATTGCGAAAATCTACTAGTTGCCTTTCTTTCGTTACCCAAGCAAAAAGATGCCTTTGAGGATATGTCTAGCTATAAAAATATGCTATCGGGCAATATCGACTAGAATTTAACTACTATTTGTTCCAAACTAAACTGCCGATGGATGCTTTTTGAACAATGTTTGAACGAAAAGCGAAGGGATTGCGGCATTATACTTCGAAATGATTCTGTCGCGTTTAGCGATGTTAGCTCTGTCATCGAATGTGCAAAATTGGTTTACTAGTTATTTGACTAACCGCTTCCAACAAGTACGTGTTGGCATTGCTTTAATCTACATCTACGCCAGTGCTCTCCGGGGTAGTATAAGGTTCAGTTCTTAGTGCCCTACTTTTGCTTATTTTCGTAAATGATCTACCAACTGTAGTCCAATTACCAGCAGACAGCATACTTCGCTGATGACTGTACACTCTACTGTCCAATGGCCTCGTCTGACAGGTCAACAATAGTTTATAGTTATGTCAAGAGAATATTGAGAAAATATGTAACTGGTGTACCTCAAATCTGATATCTTTAAACGTAAAGAAATGTGCCTGGATGTTTAGCTCTAATATACCAAGTAGAGCTAATAACTTACAACTGATTCAGGTTTCTTTTTAATTAACCGGTGAATACATTTCGAAATGTATTCACTCCTGTATGTACATCCTGTATGACTGAGGATATACTAAGATATTGTACGAAACGTCGTAATACATAGTTATGCATTCGGTGTTTATTATACTACTATTCATTTTAATAACTTACAGTTCACATTGAGTGATGGTAGAATCATAACACGCGAACTTTTCCTTATATTTTATAGATTATGCCTGTACTTTGTGCGACAATAACATTGTTAATTTGGAAATTCAACTTGAATCAGTTCAAAAGTTAGCGGTTCACATAGCGATTGGAACTCTCACCCCAACACTGTAGTTATCTCGCGAACAATAAAATCTATCAAAACCAACCTGAGGCAGTGCCTACAGCTGTAAAAGGGAAAAAAAATTAGTTTTATAGATGGCAATTTTTTGTAGATGTTTACATCCTATTTGCTTTCCAGACAACATGTTTATGTGTAGGTTAGGTTTTTGTACTGTAGAAATAAAGTTCACTCTTTTCTGTACAAAACTGCTGCTGTCGAAATAAAAATCAATTAATCAAAGACAGTGCAAAAACAATATATTTTTAAGAAGTGATTATGTGCTCAGCGATGAAAATAATATTTCCAAATATTGTCTGCATTTTCCTGATCTGCTGAAGCTGTATCTGTTCCGCTAGACAAGGTGACAGGAACTTACAATTGTGTGGTCAGACAAAAACAGTTTTTGGAACATTTATTTTATACTGGAGTCCGTATTACCTACGGACTTCAGGGTTGGAACGATCTTTCTGCAACGACACTGACGCGAGCATATACTTTTATGGACTATCTTTTTCGATACTGGGTAAGAGTTTAGAACCACATTGAAGAACAGGACGAGGGACATGGTTATCGACAAACACGGCTGGAGTATCAAAAAGTTACTCGAAACTGACACAGTGGCTCGAACAGCTTTTTTCACGAAAGGTTCCGCAGCACAGCACACCACACTGAAACCGATTACCAACATTTTTTCCGTCTACATGAAGGTCGCTACGCGGAATATTGTAACTCTACGGCTCAGGTACGGCAGCTTTTATTTCGTCGTTTTGAGTATCAACCACCGTAAAGAGGTAGAAACATTGAAGAAATAAAAAATGAACGAAAACATAGAAAATAAATATAAAAAAGAGGATAAAGTAATATTAAAGAAACTGAAAAACAGGTTAAAAAAATGCCTCAGTCAACTAATGCATCAAAGGTAGATCGGCTTGTCTTTAATTATTTCATATTTGCACCTCCTTTTCTCAAATGAAACCTGTTAGTCTTTTACGGAACAGTAACAATAAATGTTAAAAAACGAAATGTCTGGAAGAAAAGAGATGATAACAATGTTAGAAGAGAATAAAAGCAAAAGTGAATAAATGTAAGATGATAATATGATAATGCGGATAGCGGTTTGGTATAGAGTGAATAGATGCATAAGTGCAGAGTGTGGCTAGAGATGTCGTACTGTAGCACCTCCCCCTTTACCGTAGATGAGCATAGACGCTGATCGCTGGGGCGCCAAAATAAGTAAACATTATTTAAGAAAATTCGAAATTAACAATAAAAATGAAGAAAGGAAGGGGAATAAAATAAAATACACAATATTGACAGAGGAAATCAATAAAATTAAAAATCTCGCACTTAAAGTTCCAAACGGAAAAAATGAATAAACAGACTTTTTGTCGTATCTATGAAAAAATTCACCTCAAAAGTGTACGATAAAAGTTTAACTAACGTTTACTTTTGGATTTTTTTACTGTTCTGGGAATCGATATCGGCTCTGGAAGTGGTTCTCAAATGTTGGACTTCGCGGAATAGGATGACGTGTAGTCAATATAAGGGGTCCATTGTATGTCGAACATCAGCGGCGTGTTTATGTGGGTCGGTTGCCGAAAAGAATTTGAGCATCTCTGATAGTTTACTTCGATCAGAAGACTGTTCACCTGGCTGCCTAATAGATAATATCAAGCCACGATGAATTCTTGATTGTGTTGACGTTGTTTAATTATTTAGGCGTTGAGTAGTTTATTAAGATGCAAAAAGATAACCAATCACGCTGCCACCATTGTTATACTCTCCTCTTTAGCAAAGTATTTCGAGCAAGTAACTTACATTACACTTACAAGAAAAATGAAACATAAGAAGCAAGAGTATAAACTGACTAACCTAATAACAACAACTACTACCTTAACCTTAGCGAGCCATTTTCAACATAAAACTACTGCACAGAAAAAAGAAAAAATACTTTCTTTTTTTTAATACAGTGACTTATAATCCAAAGTGACGGTAGAAATTAGTCCTTTTGCTTTTCTTCGCATGGTTGGATAAGAGCTCAACGAGTTGCTTCGCAAAAACACAATCCTGCATTTTAAGAAGGAATTTTTTGGTAAAAACATTTAAAAATACCCACTATTTGAAAAGAAGCAAAAATCCGTGAAATTTTCGCAAACACACCTATAACATAGTTTTTTCGAATTGGGCACAAAAGAAACAAAAAAAAAATTTGTAGTTAACCCATTGAGAACAGATTAAAATTTGTTAACTGTCGTAACTCATTCCAAACGTTTTCGGCTTGTTGACAAATTAATTGTCGTTGTCGTTTAATTTCCACTTCCTGAACTTTTGATAATGCACCACGAATATTTTCATTCCAGTCATGTGTACGCTGTGAAAAATCAAAATCTTTTATTATTACGTATTCTAGCGGATAATTTTCCAATGTCCATCCTTTAAATTTTATTTGGTCTGCTCTAACAATAAATGTATAAGAATAAAATAGTAATAAATTAAGTTTCAATGAGTATTTTTTTAGAATCGCAAGTAGACGTCGTTGATCAGTAACAGAAATCACAGTCGTAGCCGTGTGTTGTAATTCATTAAAGAACAACCAATCAATATTACGATGATCTCGATTCAAACGTGGTAACAGAAAACACGTTACACATTCATCAATACATAATCTGTTAGAAGGAGATTCATAATGAATTGATTTACTATCTTCATTCACTTTTTGTTTGTCAATCGTACGCGGTGTTACACATTTAATTAAGTAATTAAAACGTTGGTTCAACCCAAAAAAATCTTTGTAAAGATTGTAGATCGATAAATGTTTTAAAACAATAAGTAGTAACTCGTTTGGAAGTTGTTCTAATTGCGATTTCGAAGAAGAAGACATGATCTAGAAAACGGAGAAAAAACACAGAAAATGAAAGGTTCGATTTCGATGTAAGTTAGAGCTTCTCAGGGCCAAAAAAACAGTCCGTTAACGTCCAGTTAACGGTCAAACAAAAAACTGCGCGTTAACCTTAGGCATGCAACGATTACGGTTAACCGTAAATAACCGCTTCACAACAACTAAGTGTATACTCGATCCGAAAATAGCAATGAAAGTCAGGAGTGCAGTAATCGAACGTCGACACAAGAACGTGTTTTTTACGAGATTTCGGTATTGGCTTAGGGTTCCGGGCTTCTATGACTCACTCTCACTATCCACCCGTTGCACGAAGCAAGTGTTTGACCGAACGCTCACGATAAGCGAACAAGTAGTGCTTGTCTCTCCTCGAATAGTATGTTTGTGAGATCCCGGAATCCGAGAGGACATTTCTAACCAATAGAATATGTTCTAGGGGTCTCTCATACTCATTTTCGGATTCCTCATAGTCGATAACCTATTCCCTAGAATTTTCATAAATTTATTAGTAGATGCACTATAACGCCAGCACAAAGACTATCTTTGTCTACTTCTAATGTAAACCGATATCAACGAACTAAAAATCAAGCATACACTAAGTTGTTATGAAGCGGTTATTTACGGTTAACGGTTAATAACCGTAACCGTTGCATGCCTAGTTAACGTTCTCAAACCAGCAAAAAAGCGGCCAGTAGACAGGCCGTTTCACGGTCTCAAAGTCTCCCGAAACGACCATGGTCAGAAAACGGTCAGTTAACGTTCACCGTTTACGGACCGTTTGCTGAACATTTCCTGACTATTTATTATTCATACAGAAATCCGCCATTAACCGGCCGTTAATGGCCAGCTAACGGACGGTTTTTAGGCCGTTTTTCACATACATGATTAGAGATGCTTTTAGCCGTACGTGGGCCATTAACGGCTAGTTAGCGGATCGTTTTTAGGCCGTATTTCAATACTTTATGGCAGAGAAATTATAATGACATAAAACTGAGTAAAGATCTCAGCTTTCCATCTGAAAAACGTTCTTTACAAAAAAAACGTTGGGGCCTTCATTCTTATTTTAAGTTTTGTACACTTAGTGTACACTTTAGCTGCCACTTGTTTTCCAGTTAAAATCAGCTAAACTTGTAGCTAGTTAACTGGCTTTCTTTTCATCTACAGAGCCGAAGTTGCTGCATAATATGTGTCGTTATAAAGTTACATTATCGTATATTTGTTTTGAAGTTAGAAAGAAAAAATACGTGGCTTGTTGAAACTGGAAAAGGACAAGAAAGCGAAAATTTCGAAATAAGACACCTGTCTTTTCTTTTCTGTTTTCTTCCCTGTGTAAAGTTACTAGAATGGACTTATATATACTGTACGATGAATATGGGATATATTCATTCTCATATAAACT